GTTTTAAAATGCGTCTTCTAGGGAGAAGTTTACACACCCTTATAATGAATGTTTCATCACCATTTCTAGTCAATATAGGATCTCACAATCCATCCTTCTCGAGGACCCAGTGTCCTCACTGGCACATCGCCTGATGTCGGGCTCTAATACCATTTGTAACAGCTCAAACCCACTGCTAGTCCGTTTTGATCCATTACGTATCGTTATTAGTCTCATGGTTTTAAAACATGTTTTCTAGGGAGAGGTTTCCACACTGCTTCGTTTTCCAACCTAACTGACGTGACATCTCAGGTAAATGTTGCATTTTCTACCCTTGATTGAATTTACACTCATTTTAGAAACAAAAAAATAATAATTTTTTTTTAGTAAATTCACTAATTTTAAAAATATCAAAATTTGTACCAATTTAATTAGATTAATGTAATATATATGTGTGTATATATATATATATATATTACAACATTTTTAAAATTTTAAAATTAAAATTAAATGTTGGTTTACTTTTCAAATGTTTATGACTTGTGGGTGGTGGAGGCAGGAACCCGCCGGCGGAATAGGAGAGGGCGGCGCAGCCGCAGTCCACGTCGGGGCACGTCAAATATTTGTCAAAATACGCACAAAGCGAAGTAAAAGAAGAGTTAAATGGAAATTTGACGTCGGCTAAGAGAATCTTTTTGACTAATAAAAAAAAAGCATATAATATTTTATTAAATACATTATTTCTTTGAAAAAAAGAATTAAATAATTTGTTTTTTATACAGAAAAAAGAAAAATCAAGTTTGGTTGTCAAAGTATTTGTACTTTTCGTATGAGTCAGGAGATAGAGACAAAACCATGGGGTTTTTTATAAGCAAAGCAAACCAATGCTTATAATTTGGTTTAATCAATTCTCTTTTAAAAAATAAAATTTTCAAAGATATTTTATTTTAAAATCCGACAATCCCAAGTTGGTTGGAGAAGAGAACGAAACACCCTTTATAACAGTGTGAAAATCTTTTCATAGTAGACAGATTTTAAAGCCTTGAGGGAAAGCAGAAAAAGGAAAGTCCAAAGACGACAATATCTGCTAGCGGTGGGCTTGGGACATTACAAATGGTATTAAAGTTAGGTTTCGGGCAATGTGCTAGCGAGGAGGCTCTTCCTCGAAGGAAGGTAGACAGGAGGCGGTGTGCCAGTAAGGATGTTGGGTCCTGAAGGGGGGTGGATTTGGTGGTGGTCCCACATCGATTAGAGAAAATGAACAGTGCCAATGAGGACGTTGGGCCCTAAAGGGTGTGGAAATCTTTCCGCCCTAGAGGGGGTGGATTGGGCTGGCCCTAAAAAGGGTGTGAAAACATTTCCCTAGCAGAGTCAGTCAGCTTGAAGGTGGGTGGATTTGGTGGTGTCCCACATCAATTAGAGAAAATGAACACTGCCAGCGAGGACGTTGGGTCCTAAAGGGTGTGGAAATCTTTCCCTAGCAGAGTCAGCCCTGAAGGGGGTGGATTGGACTAGCCTTAAAGGGTGTGGAAACCTTTCCATAACAGAGTCAGCCCTGAAAGGAGGTGGATTTGGTGGTGACCCCACATCGATTAGAGAAAATGAACAAGTGCCAGCAAGGACGCTGAGTCGTAAAGGGTGTGGAAACCTTTCCCTAGCAGACGTCTTTTAAAAACTTGAGGGAAAGTTGGTGCTTTAAATAGAGGTAGAAGCTGGTGGGCACGTGACACTCGAAAAACAAGAGATATATAAATAAATCGAGACCATATCTGAATGTATTGTTTGTGCACCTTAATTTTCGGTAGCTCAATCGTAGGAATTCTAAAATTAATAAATAAATAAATATATAATATCCCAATAAAACCTTTTTAGGTTTGGAATGGACATATGAAGGGGCCCATTTGAACTACTTGATGCTAGTCAAGAAAATGGGTGGATTATTTGTATGGGCCACTTCATGACTATAATTGAGCCAAAATGGGCTTTGCTTTATTAATTTTTTTTTTAAATAATTGAGATAATAATTGAGAGAGTGAATGGTTATACATTTAATTATTGAAGCATGATATTATTAAAGTATATTTAAATAAATATGAACACATAAAATATGTATTTTGAGATATTCAATAATTATTTATTCTTATTTTTCTAAATAAATAAATAAATAAATATACGTTATAATATTTATAGCTATTGTTCTTATGCATTTTGAAAACCATAAATAAATAAAAATAAAAAAAACATGAAACTTTGTTTTTTATATAAAAATACTTATATTGTTTTCAATATTTTCAATATTACCGACTTTTTTTTATAAATATTACAAAAAAAAAAAAAAAAAAAAAA